AAGCCTACACTCAGAGCTGCATTAGCTCCTGCGCTAGCGCGCGCACAGTGCTTTGGCACAGGGTGCAATAGCATCCGAACGTGTGACATTCGCCCACAGTTCGCACCAGAGGACACGACAGTCCTCGCAAACGCGTCCGGAGCGTGGTGTCTCCCGCGAGGGACGACACCGAGAAGGGCAACACCTTCCCCAGCACTAGAGGGAGCTCTCAGCTCACCTCGGGCCATGCCTTTGGCTCCAGCAAGGATTCATCCTTGCGGGCGGAGCTTTTGCCACGCTCTCTTCGCGTCTTGGTCACCATACCAACGGCGCGAAGGTGTCCTTCATCGACACCGTGTACCGTGACGGTACACAACCGTGGTGTAGGTGTCTCCCATCGACACCATGTACCGTACGGTACTAACCTTTGGTGCGGTACGCCCACCACAAGGTTGCCATGTTTGGCGGCAACAGCTTCTGCTGTGCTGTCGCCTGAACAGATTCATGGCCAGTGCTCGCATCATGCACGACGCATGTGCAAGCACAGTGTATAGGTCCATGGGACCGTACACGAGGCACGCTGTGTACGATACGTACCACAGCTACCATAAGTGCTCCGTGCACTTCATGTGTGTCATGCACGACGAGTTCATTACGTGGAACTCCTGGCAGGTTTGCTCGACAGCAGCCAGTGCCGATGCACGGTACGTGCGTTGACTCACAGCGTCCAGAGCGCATCCGGGTCGTGGTATGGTGCATATTCTTTGCACCTATACCAGTGTCTGTCACAGACAACCATGTTCCTTGATGGTACTCGACCGTGGTGGGGCATATCTCACCACCATGCCACTGCGGCGTTGGTGTCTGGCATTGACACCGAGTACTCACGGATACCAACCCCATGGTGAGGCAAGCTGCCGTCGCCACGGTGTCATGCTCGGCGCGGCACCAGTTACGACTGCGTGACTTGACTCGATCACCACCTGGTCAGTTGTGTGTGCACTCGTGCACCACACTTGGGTTATGGATCCACGGCCCATTATACCCGGCGCGTTGCGTACATCACGTACCGCAACCGCTTTGTCGGCGGGGGAGACGTTCCGTTCACCCTACTCGACAGGTCGTTCATGACCAAGGGACTTACACTAGGCCCGCGCTTCGCCTCGTGTGTGGTTGCTTGCAACCCCAACACTGCTGATTCGCTCAGCGATTCCGAGGCACCTTGCGCCCGTGGCTTTCTTCGCCACTATGTCTTGTTCGGCTAGAGCTACCGCAGCTCTAGCCCGGCTGTTCGCCTCCAGCCTGCAGTCGATGTACATCGACGCCTGGTTCCGTAAGGATCTTGGTCTTACCTCAAGACCAGGGAGGAAAGGTATTTCCGAGCCTCTCCCCCACTTACACTCGAGACTATTGAGTCTCTCGTGGCTTGTGATAGCCACTGGCAGCACGACGGCTACCTGCCTCTTGGAAAGTCAGGGAGGAAAGGTATTTCCGAGCCTCTCCCCCACTTAACCTCGAGACTACTGAGTCTCTCGTGGCTTCTAATAGCCACTGGCAGGCGCAACGGCTCTCCGCCATGTGCACTGCGTCGGTATGGCCGACCGCGTCGGCCGTGTCGACTGAAGGCATTCAGCCTTCGCGTCAGCAGTTTGAGTCTGCGCGACTTGACGTCGAGCGAGTTGCTCATGTCTGGCGAGGCCAAGACAACCTCGCGCCTCGAGCCAATGGCTCTGTGTGCGGCGCTATGTTACTCGCCGTGGGTGTGGAACTCTGTTACCCACACCGGAAGCGCATACAGCGACTTCCTTATCAGATATGGTCTGAGTGACCTTGCGTGGAGCTTTGTTACCCACGCTCGGAGCACCGAATGTCGGTCTCCTTAAGCAGCTTCACTGCTTGCGGAACTTGTTACCCGCAGTGTGGACCTATGTTACCCACCTGGTGAATGCCATTAGGCACCACCACTGTCGAAGCGCATACGGCGCGACGACCTTCGGTGTTGGGATCGGCTGGTGTGGCAGACCCGCCCACACACCGGACAGAGTTGGTGTCCACCGACCGAGTCAGAGGAGTCCGGGCCCTGGACTCCGAGTCGCTTGAAGCGACGTCGGCCTGAACAAGGTTCAGACCCGACTTGCGGCGGCTGACGTGACGTGGCACTTCGTTACCCACGTCGTGATGTCTCGTTGACGACATCAGAGGCACTCGAGACCTCGTGTGGCACTGTGTTACCCACACAGGAAGCATGGAAAATGCCTTCCTCTTCAGTTATAGTCTGGGGCGACTGCGTGTGGTACTGTGTTACCCACACAGGAAGCATGGTCATGCCTTCCTCTTTCAGTTTATAGTCTGGGCGACCGTGTGGTCCTAAGTTACCCACCTGGTTAGCGCTTAAAGGCATAACCACTGTCGAAGCCCGTACGGCGCGACGACCTTCGGCGTTGGACGCTGCTGGTGTAGCAGGTCCACACGCCGGGCAAAAGACCCATGCCCGTGGCATTGCCGCAGCGTAGCATGGTCTTGCTGTACGCAGAGCAGTCGGCGCGTTGACAGCTCCGTGACGCTTCTGCGTCCTGGCGGTCTGTATCAGACGCCCCAGTCATGACGGAGGTGGGAACATGACTCACCAATGCTCCGTCATAGACCTGGACTGGTAGGCCCTTCTCAGCCTTGCCACACCAAAGTCCGGGCTGTGCCTTATGTTCGGCACAGCCATGTTGTTCATGGCGAGAACTGCGAGCGACACCGCGGTGCGCGAGCTCATCGAGCCGAAACGCTCAGGTCCGTTGAGGACCATTGATACTACCGTACCAAAGGCTAGTCCATCAAGGACCAGCCCATGACCGCCACTCTGACATAGAGTGCAGTCGGATGTCGCTATGCCAAGCGACGTTCCGGCGGCGTATCAACGCCCCAGAACTCATCAAACGTTCAAGGGGTACCGTACCCCCGTACACCGAGTGTACTACCAGCAGCCCATCACTGCCCTTCACCGGTTTGAGAGAACCACGTCTCTCTGGGCTAAGTCCCGTGGTGTGCACAACCTGCACACCCATCACAAAGACTTAGCGCTTTTCAGTAGGGCATACCGCCTCTACTGGTGGCCGGGGAGTCTTCGTCCACCTGGCCGTGGCCTGTGCCACCGGACTTGGGGCCCACGGGCCGTCTTCTTCCCGAGGACTAGCGAGGGACACACACGCTGGTAGTGTCCATGTCCGCCGCATCCATAGCAGCGGACCAAGCTCTCGGCTGAGCTTAAGTCCATGGGCTCGGGCTCGCTGTACGCACCGGTATCGACGGGCTGCGTGACAGCAGGAGCAACAGCGTCATTGCTGCGATGCTCCGCCTCCCGAGGAACGCCATTCTCATCGTGGCGATGTTCTTCTTCCCGAAGAGTACCAGCCTGCTTGTGGCTGTACTCTTCTTGGAGGGCGATTCGAATCGCCTCCTCCATAGTTGTCGCTTGCACCCGGAATAGCTGGGTGCGAGCAGGACCGACCTTCAGGCCGTCCATGAAGACTGTTGGCTTAATGTCTTCAGGCAGAGGATTCCCTGCCAGAGATGCCACCAACGTGCGCATCTCTTGCGCGTACTCCTGCAGCTCACGTTTACCTTGCTTACACGCGAGAAAGCGTGAGCGCTGGCGGAACTCGTCGTTCGCCGGTAGGAACGCGGCTCGAAGCTGCTCACACAGCTGAGCCCAGGATGCAAAGCATCCAGGAGATGTCGTCTCCCTGGTGTATGCCCAGTGCTTGGCACGTCCACCAAGGTTGGACAGGGAAAACGCCACCCGAACTGGCTCGTCCGAGATGAGACCCGCCTTCATGGCGATCTCCACCTCACGGACCCAGAAGTGAAGGTTCTCTCCTTCCTTCCCCTCAAACGCGGGGACCTTCAGCCACACCGGCTTAGGCCTGGTTGCCTGGGGAGCGGCCATCGTGGCCTCCAAGCTCCCGCGGACGTGAGCGATGAGACCACGCTCGTAGGTCTCAAACGCGGTCACGCGCTCTTGTTGCTCGGCAGGCGTCGCCGCCGCCAAGCTGCGAAGGACATCTTGTCCAAAGATGCCTCCCATCTTCCGAACGGACTCGTACTGTGAGTCGTTCAAGCGAGGAAACTCGCTTCGGTCCATCTTGGCTCAAACGTTGAGCGCACAGAGGATTCAGGTAGTTCAATCTACCCGCGATGGTGTTGGATTGACTACTAGTGCTACCAAGTGTGACGGGGTCACACAGCACCTTGCACAGAGGAAGTGCTTAAGGGTATTAACTACCCGAGTGACCGTAAGTCCACGTGTTCCCGGCCTCAGTGGGAACGGTTTGCTACTTAGAGGAGTAGATTTAAGACTGATGTATTTATAAGTAAGATAAGCTTGGGTCTCATACAAACTAGAGGTTACCTATAGTGGAGCTAAGTAGTCATGCACTGACTGGCTCCGAGAGCACCTGGTACCGTGTACCAGGTGTCCACAAGAGTGACGGGTCACTCTTTATGTAACATGGGGCACACTGGATTGTACCCCGTTACACATAACGTCCAATTGATGAGCACTTGGGTTTGCTCAAATATCACGCTCTTGAGGCCACCGCCGTTCTGAGGTGCATCGGGCGCCAATTATTCAGCTGCGCGGTTGCCACCACTGGCCCATAGGCAAGTAGAACGCCACTTTCTGGTTTTAGGCAGTTTTAGCAATCTTTTTCCCTGGAGGTCTGTAATCGCTCCTATTAATAATTCTAAACAATAAGCACCAGCCCAATCATCTAGTTTCACCAAACATGTGCTGATATTTTCCCTTTTCATGACATGTTGGTAAACACCTTTGTCCTGAAGCGGTATTACATTGTAATATCGCCTCAGGACAAATCCGTTTATCACGCTTCAGGACAAATCTGTTTACCAACGTGGATGCGCTAGAAAAGCGAACGGTGTACCGCCGGGAATTGACCAAGAATAGTGACACTGCTATTCAGTTCAGTTCGTATGTGCACTCCCGTCGCCGACTCCTCAACCAGTTCTGAGGTATGCGCTTCTACTACGTCGTCCTCGCTGTTACTGCCACACTTCTTGCTAGCGTCAAAGCTGTCTCCACTAATGCATATCAGAACCAAATCTCCCAGACGGCCTCGGACAGCGTCGTTGGCGTGAAGCGCTCCCTACGCTCGCACAAGGTTAACAAGGAGGAGAAGGAAGACCTTGTCGACTCGCGGGAGGACGTTGAAGAACGGAAAGGCGGAGTGATCTCAAGTAAGCTGATGAAGATTGTCAAGGATCGTAATACACCCATTAATTTGGATATCACGAAGCTAAATCTCAACCAGCAACAGAAAATTGTAGACATCTTGTCCGGCCAAACGCGAACGCTTGAGAGGTTTGCTAAGAAGTTGGGAATAAAGAGTGCCCTAGACACGACACACAAGAGCTACCCGTTTTTCAAGACGTGGAGTCTTCACTTCCTGGACGGGAAGAAGCCGAAGAAAGTCTCTGAATTCTGGATTTGACTTTTTTTAGCAAGATGGCAATAATCTACTCGATTTTCATTCTGAATGGTGAGCTTGCGACTGACTAATTACATTAATAGCCGAGAGCCTCCGCTGTCGGCATAAGCGTACTTGTTAAGACCCTGAGTGAGCCTTCAACGGGATTATTTTGCCAATTTTGTTTTTCTGCTATGGAGACTTCGTTTGCCACCCAAGAGAAATTGTAATTTCCAAGTTGAGTCACCCATTTTCTTTTAACAAAAACACGACTGAATTTTCTTTATGTGGACCACGTATTTTCAATCAAATAATATTTCTGACAAAAGTAAAAAATTATCGCCCTGGGAACCCCGCACGGAAATTCTGAGAAGAACGCACAATATCGCCAAATAATAATCATTTAGCCTCATGTGATCGAGTTTATAGCTAGACAATATTATTAAAAAGGCCTACAGGAAAGAAGTGTTGGAATAGCGCAGCCTTTGATATTATGGGTAAATTCGAATAAATGACGGATACATTACCAAGGGATGTCCCAATTCTTAGTTCCAGTAGAATAAGCGTTGTTCCACTGATAAATATTTTTGGACGTTTGTACCAAAGGGATATCAAATATATGCTAAGACAGAGAATATTAAGGTCCATACTGAATCCCTGATTTTCACTGAGATTTAAAAAAAATGGTCGTAAAAATTACCGCATGCCAGTGAGCTGGTAGTATAATAGTATTACTTTAAATTCAAATGTGTAACAGTGCCAGCATGAGCTTACATTTTACAGAAAAAAATCAACTAGCCGCGAGTACAGTGTAATCTGCCTTAGATAATAGAGAACTTTAGATTCTGGAATAAATCAGGCTTTGGAATAAGAATTTTCTTCGTCCAGAAATATATTCCAGTGGAATAGAGGGGTCGCGTTTCCACTAGAATAAAATATTGGAGTATCGATCGGTAATCTATCCGTCATTTATTTAGATTTATCCAGATAATCGTTATTCCAAGCCTTGCGTTATTCCAGAAACTAAAGCTCTCTAATAACAGCTTTTGGATTAGTATTCTGCTCAGTCTGTGGAACAGAGTTATTGTGTATTGTGTTGATGCGGATTTTACTGTTTAATGGAAAATGATACAAAATTAGAATTATTTGAGTACTATTGGAAAATAGTCGACCCCCAGCGACGCTGGTATCGATGCAAAGTGGCGGGCATGTGATTTAATCGCTTGCGAATTCCGACCAAATTTGCCGTTTTGGTTCTAGTCAATGAGATACAAATTGGTTCAACTCTCATAAATGATACTCTATCATTTAATATGGCGTGATAGATGATCAAAAATCGCGATTTCTCAATCTCTCGTTTTGGCTGATACTGAAACATGGACATTCCTCTTAGAAAAACATTATGGACAAAAAGGAGGACCCAAAAGATGATGACAACCTTTCAGTGATAGGCTCATGTACTATTTTGATCATGGAAGTTCATATTGTTCAGCATTTTGCTATCCATTTCGTGCACGACTAAAAAGTCGTCCTATTCAGATTAAAATCTGACCAGGAATTTTACCAAAAGCGACTGCACTTTCAGCGAACAAAGATTCCTTACGCGAACACGTTGTGAGCACAACTTGTTGTACCGTGTTCACTTGCCCATAGCTTCTTGTGCCTTACGGCCCGACCCCGGTCTCGACAGTACCGACCATTCCTCCATCACACGTGATGACTTGACCTGAAATCCAGCCCGACGCTTTGGACGCCAAGAAAATGGCGAGCCCAGCCATATCCGAGTCCTGGCCCATACGCTCGGTGGGAACTTCCTGTTTGATCTGTTCGAAAGACTTTCCCGTCACGTACGGGAGTCCTTCTGTCAATTTCGATGGAATCAATCCAGGAGCGATGGCGTTCACTAGGATGTGGCCTCCGTTCGGCCGACGAGCAAGCTTAACAGCTAGAGCTCGCGTCAAATGGTGCACTGCAGCCTTGGACGTGTCATAGACAAAAGTGTTGATTTTCTGTGGCATGAATCCCCCAATCGATCCAATGTTAATGACTCGAGCTCCATCGGTTGAGATTGCAGCAGCGTCAAGGAGGGGCAGCAAAAAGCGAGTGAGCAGATAAATCGATGTCACGTTCAGCGACAACGTTTCGTCCCAAACTACAACACAAACCAAAATGAGTCAGCGAGATATACACTGTCCTCAAGACAATCCTCTTCGAACCACTGGCTGGGGTTGTCTCGACGTGGGTTTCCAGTCCAATTGCTGAGTTGTTGACCAGGACATCGAGACGGGATTCGCGCTTGGAAATCGTGTCGGCGAACGCTTGGCACGCAGCCTCGCCTGAGAGACCCGCTTGCAACTATTTAACATGTCAGGTAAGTGAAGCGGCGTACACGGGGTAAACTGGGATGATCCTACCGGAATGCAGTGCCCCGGTCCTTTGGCGTTGAGCTCATCAGCGGAGGCTTGGCACGCGTCGAAATTGCGAGACACGATATAAACTTTCGCTCCGTTCTGCACGAATCCGTCAGCTATCATCTTGCCGATGCCACGACCACCGCCAGTTACAATCGCTACTTTGTCCTTGACGTTGAAGAGCGAAGTCAGATTCAGCGAGTTCATAGCTCGATTTTGCTCGTTGGTGGGTCAATTGAGCTGTGTCGATGGCCGACCCATTGCAGATTGCGTAGGGCGAACCTATTCCGAAAGGTTCTCATGCTATGCATGAAGTCAAATCCAGTCGTCCATCTGTACGTGTATTCGGAGATTATGGTGGCTGCTATCATGTCTGAGAAGCCTTTGCAACACTTCGCGCATTCTTGAACTCATGGAACTAAGCGCATCAGCTATGCCTAAAAGAGGCAACAATCCAGAGTCTTTTTTCCGCTGATCTTCTCTACTTCGTTTGTGGAACCACGTTTTATTGATACATGTAGCTACGTTTTGACTGAAATAAGTGCCGACAGAATGTTGGTTTCTTCAGCAATCGCAGTGACCGTATGATACGGCGAAGAAGGTGAACTCAAGAAGTGATACAGGTCCACACAACTGTGATTGTGTTTACTCTTAATGATAAGTAGTTTAATTGTATTACGAAGTACCGCGATTCCACGGCTCCTACAGCTTGGCTTCGCCATTACCTACTGGGTTCTCTTCGTCATCTGGAACTTCCTGCATCCCTCGAGCCTTCAGCATCAGAAGACAAGGTTTTGACCCACAGTTTTCTCGTCAAACTCGTAGCGATTCTGCTCTCGATCGCAGACGACTTTGTCCAGCACCTCTCGTCCGAACGAGAGCGCTCTTGTCTCCGTAAGAAACGCCTCATTTACCTCTTGCTCGTCCTGATGCAGGTGCATCAACTCCTGCTTCCGCTTGCGAGGGACGTAGACATCCACACTATCACTGAAACTGTCAAGCGGTTCTCGAAGTGCCTCGCGTTGCGCCCTAGTTTTCTGTCCGTACCGACGCTTCGTGTACGTTGTCGACAAGGCAGAAGCCGTTAGTCTTGTACGCGTCGACGGCTTCAGACCTCGACGTTGAGACTTCTCTGTAAGCCCTCGCACTGCCAAGAATTTCTCCAGTGTAGACACCTTGCCAGCTCCTTCAAACACTTCGTCCGTAGACACTCCCATCTCGTTGGCTGACGGGTTACATGCGTGGTCAGACGCCTTCGTCTCCATGTTTACAATAAACCAGTTTCGAATAATCTTTACGTTTAAATGAAAATGTTTTATTTTTTAATGAAGAGCTTGATCGGTTTGACGTTTGGCAAGCGCAGCGGAGATTTGGAGTTCTGTTATCTGCTGGAGTTCGTCAAAGATTCCCTTTGGGGCGCTTTCGAGCTGCCTTTGTACTTCTGCCACTTCATTCGGGTACATTTCAAGCCAAGGTAAGGGAACCCCTCGAGTCTCGCGCTTGCTACACATTGTACCTTTTTCTCGGTGACCACAGCAGAACTGGTCGAAGATTGCTTGAGCCTTGTCTTGTCGGCGTTGAGTTATCGTAGCTGTGTCTAATGATAACAGTGGCGAGGTCCCAATTGCACGGAATCCCTCGACAGCACTCCAGAACTTGCGGTTCTGCTCCAGAGCAGTCTGTAAAGGGTCTCGAATAGCGTCCACCCGTAACGACAAGTTACTTGGTTCGACGGGTAGGGCGGTAGGTTGATAAAGTTTCTTCCTGTTGACGGGAAGTGCGTCGGCTCTCATAGCATCCGGCACGTACATCTGCGGGTAAAGTATCGAGTAGGCGTCCCGCACGTTGTCCGACCGTGGCTCTGCGACGAATTCTTGCCAAAGTCGCTCCCTCTCGGCCTTGGACAACGGTGTCATATCCTCTAATCCAGTGAGCTTCTTAGAATTCTCTCCACTCTTCATCTCTGATGGGACTACCATCCTGGCTCCTTGGAGTGCAAGACCACGGTGTTCTAGAGCCCCAAGGTCTCTTCCGCGCTTGCGGTGGATTGCTAAAAAGCTCGAAGAGCGTGTAGTTTCGACGAGCCTAGTAGGGGACCCGCTTGTCAGCTTGGTAAGCAGCACGGAAGCGTTCACACTTTTGTCTGCACCGCTAAGTCGTAAGCCTTCCAAAAGTAATGAAGCGGACGAGTCAGCATCTTTATTAGTGTCGGCGATACCGTCAAGCTTGATAAATGGCTTGGGAGGAGAGAAGTGGGTCTTCTCAGGCAGAGGTAACGCAGTTGGCGATGTATCTGAGGCATTTTCAGTCGACTCAGAGACAAATTCTTCTCGATTGCTACGTTTCGTGACGACGGTGACTGAAATGGCGGTTGGCGGGCGCTCCAAGAGCGCGTTATCCGAGGACAAGACGTCAACGCTTCTCCGCGGCAGTGTAGTCTTTTCGGTGGCGTCGAATACTCCACTGCCGCTCGTTTGTAGCCGAATTCCCTTTTGTTTCTTGGTCATTTTCATCGATTTGCCTTGCAGAGTGAAAGTTTCATTCCTGACCTCAACGTTAGTCTTGAGCTCACTGGGAATACTGCCATTCATCTCGAAGCGTGTTGCTTTCATTTCTTCAGCCCAAACGAGCGTCTGTGTTGCAGGAAGACTGTGAACTCGTGGCAAGGCTGATACTTGCTCCTGTTCGACGGGGTAAAGTCTATCAGCGGTTGAAGTTGACTGCAGCCTTGGACCCACCGCAAGCGAAAAAGCGTCAAGCTCAGCTCCGCCCTCCCATTTAACGAACGCATTCGCGTGTGTGTCGCTGTCAAGCGAGCGATTTGGCTCCGTGTCACGTGTACGGGACAAAGCTGATCCCTTGCGACGGGAGTCGGAAGTCCGAGATGTGCTGATCTCCACAACTGGAGAGTGCAGTCGCAAGTCCACTTCCTCTATCTCCTCGTGATTGGGACGACTCGCTGGTGGGTCGTCGTCTGGGGTCTCCAAAGTGCTCGTTATCTTCCTCGTGTCTTCAAAATATTCCGAAGCATTCTCTTTCTCGTCCACAGATTCGAATCTGATAGTTGCAGAGCTGCGTGTCTCCTCTTCACTACTGACACGACCTGTACGTACAGATTTTGTGTTGATCTGCATCGGTAAAGCGAACTGTTCGGGTTCCTTGCTCTCATCCTGCTGAGAGTCCAAAACTTGAGTTTCTGACGAACTATTTTCTAGTAAATTAAGTAAATTGGAGCTCGATTCCGTGTCCGGTTGTCGATGGGAAGTTGGTCCTGTTTGATCAAGTGGACACATCGCAACGTCTCCATCCTCTTGCTCAGGACTCGAATGACCCGAGACTTTCACACCAAGATCTAACGAAGGCTGTGCCTCTGGAACGTCTCCAAGAGGCTGAGCAGATTCTTGCGCCGTCTCTACTTGGCGAAGGCTTCCAGGTCGCAGTTTTCCTCTTGCCGAGCTTTGTCGATGAGCTTGGGCCAGAACTTCCTTGATACTGGGAGCAGAAATATCCGCCTGTTTGGCCCCTCCACGCTTCCAAATCGCATCAGTAGCAACAGCACCAATCCCTTCCCTCGTCTCGAGTAAATCGGCTATTTCGGCAGCAGAAACCTCGTGCTGCAACCTCACTCCGCCGCCGACGACGAAGTTGCCAAAACAGAAATCAGCGCCGTGAATTGCAGGCAGCAGCTGATCTTGTGAGGAGAAACTTATCTCTTCTCTGTCGCTGTCACTCTCGGCTTCTCGTAGGAGCTGTCGATGCCTCATGGCGCGTTGTAGTTCCTCCTTTTTTCGGTTGCGTCGAGCCTCTGTTTTCTTATCCACAAGACCAGCTTCTGGTCGAGTTCTAACGGATACGGCATCGATACTTACAGTGTGATCAGGAGGCAGTTCTGGTTCACCCGTAATAGGGTTTTGCTCCGACAGAGCGGCGATAATTTCCACCTTCTTGGCGCTTGACCGTTCGCGCTCGGCGGCTGCAGCAGCCCGACGCTCTTCTTCAAAGAGAAGAATGGCGCTCGCTGCGTACGTGGCAGTCATATCGTCACTCTCTGGATCTTCCAGACTCCTGGACGAGACTTGCTGATACGTTTCCAGAAGGCGTTTCGTGTTGCCAATACTGCTGCGACGCCGTGGCGGGCCTTCGAGGAGCAGTGACCCTGCAGTACTGAACACCCTCGTCAACTTCCTGCGTTCTTCTGGCTCGGCTTGAAACGAGTCGCCATCACTGTCGCTATCTCCACTCTCAGCCTCGTTCTCTTCTTGGCTGTTTGTCTCCATTGCGACCATGTTTTCGGCTAACCAGCAGCAACAAGATCGAAGCAAATTCAATACGAAAAGCGAGTGCAACTTACTGCTGGCTTCTCTCTGAAGTGGGTGGAGCGATTCTGGAAGCGGTTTGACTTCTAGATTTCCAGAATCTAGTTTCGCAGCAGCTTCTTCTAGTATGACCTTCGTTTGGAACATATTGACACAGTTGGCTCTCTCTCTGTCCAGGAATATTTTCTTCTCCTCGTAGGGAAGTTCCGATACGGAACGAGGCAGCAAATTGACGACGCGAGAAACTTTCTGGGGCGTGGACTTTTCCTCACTTTGGAGCTCTTCTTTCGCAAGCTCCAAGCGGGAAACGGCAGCTTTCGCTTCGCTGAGTTTGATCACGTTCGAGGCCATTCGAAGACGCGAATGCTCCAGATCCTTTCGAGCCGCACAGATGTCTTGCAAACGCCTCACAGCAGCAAATAAAACCTCGCGATGCGCTCGTTCGTTCTCGTCCAGTTGGTCCTGAAGCCGCTTACTTTTCTTTTCAACTTTCCGGAGTTTCCGCTTGGATCGTATCAGTAAAGACTCCAGCTCAAGGGCAAGCGCTTCTCGCTGGCCATTTAGTCCATCCGGACGCCCTTTGTCGGCGCTTAAGTTAAACTGACCAAAATTTAAGTGGAAAACTTCATTTTTGAAGAAAAAATCTGCATCAGCGTCATCCGAGAAAACTTGAAGCACTCCGATATATCTGCTTACATGTGACCCACTTGTCGTGTCTTCTTGAGCATAAACCTCGCGCCAAGCCTTCTCAGACCGCATAATACGCTGGTACAACTCCCACAACTCGCTCTCTGCACTTGCGCACTCGTCCTCAAGTCGATACGCTTGCGATAGGATTTCCTCTACTGAGAACTCTAAGGAGAAGAGTAGCCCAGCGAAACTGGGTATGAGCTCTTGTTCACAGGCGTCAGCATCAAGATTCGTCGCCAAGAGATACCGTGCGTATGCTTCGTACTCGCCAGTCTCTGCAGCTTGCAGATTTCTCATTGCGACACGCTCTTCCCACGCACGATCCCCACCCTCTGCGGACTCGTCCTGAGTCCTAGACAAGCCAACATCTACGTGCAGAATGTCCTTATATGATCGACACAGACGCGTCTTTAGCGCATTGAGAAACCCACGAGATCGCGTCACTCCAGCCGCGAAAACGGAGTCGCAAGCGAAGCGAATATGCGCTTGACGAAGCCACAGCTCGTCTCGAATTGTGCTGTGCCAGTGACCCGTTCTCACGTCGGCGGGGTTGCGTAGCCCAGCTCTCCACTCTCTGGCCATAAGAGACGTCATACACCACAGCAATCGATGGTTAGTCCCGCAATCTTCAGTCTCGTGCAGGACGTTGCGTGAATAAAAGGCGTAGATGCCGTGGTCGAGTAGAAACCGAGTCGCTGCATCAGGTGCCAGCTGCACGGGGGACAAGCCATGTCGATTCACACGTTTCAGCGTCGTGGCACCTTCACTTAGCAATAAAGAAACAATTTCTAACCGTCTTTCGGTCTCGTCGATCTGCGCTGCTACGTGCAGTGCTGTATTCCCTGACGCGTCATCGACGGCATTGACGAGATGGCGAGTCTGTAAAATGGCGTTGCGGACATCCATGACACTTTCCCGGACCAAAACGCCGTGGAAATGCCGAACAGCATCTCCAGACGTAGCGAGCACCAGCTCATTCCTGTCAACACGCTGCGAGGCTCCATTCTCGCAGTGCATGGAGCTCGGGAGACCTCCGAAAATCGATCCAGCATCGGAGAAACTACCGTAAAACATCATCGGAAAGAAAGCCGAGAGCTCGCGATAGACATCCCACGCATCGAGGCATAAATTGTCTTCCAGGAAGCCGTCCACACGCTCCCATTTGGCTGCTTTCCACGCGTTTAACACGCCAAAGAGAAGCGTTCTTCGCTCCTGGCGAGCGCAGAGAGAGCGCAGCGTGAGGAAGAGTTTGCGTTTGCGAACCAAGTGCGTCCAGGCCTCGAACGTTCTCCAGAGCAACAGCGAATCGCGTTCTTGTCTCCAGACATCGAGCGTGCGATGCAGTCGAGAGCGCCAGACCTGGCTCTGTTGTATCTTGGAGAGAGTCAGCTCCCGCTTAAAGCTCGCGTGGAGCTGCACCCATTTCCAGCCTCGGATCGATCGCCTCGCCAGCCACTTTCGCCTCTTCCTCCTCAGCGAGTCCTTCAGTGGACGCAGCTTCCGTTTGGCGCAAGCATATCGATGCAGGCGAAGTAGAATTCCTCTCTCTAGTTTCTTCTCCGCCGCGCTGTCTGCGATCGCTGCTCGCCACTCCAGTAGCACCTTCAGCCGTACAACCCGAGAGTGATGGTCAACTGCTAGCGCTCGCGCTTGTCGTTTGCGAATGATACGACGTGCAAACGCGTCAAGGCGAAGGAAATAGCGTCGAAGTCGCGCAGCTGGAGCTTTGGCGGCTGCTTTGACGCATCGAACTTGACGTTCCTGGTGGTTGTGCAGCCAGACATCCCAGTGGGGATTCGTCTGGGGGAACTGAGGCAACGGCAGCCCCAGTCGCTTACAGCGGTTGAAGCTCGCCCATCGAGCCCAGAGCTCAAACACCGACAACAGGATCTCGGCGGGCCAGCGTTGTCGCGTGCCAAAGGCCATTCGAACGGCGCGTTTTAAACAAAGCTGAGCGTTCAGCCCCACCCGTTTGTTGCCTTCATGCACGCGTTTCCAGAGTCGGAAAACGTGCTGCACGATCTTCTTCCGCACTTCTTCTCGCGCTGTTTCGTGCTGGGCGTGCAGCTGTTGCACTCGACTGCGTGTCTCCGGTCCAGACTCGACGTCCCCAAAGGCGGCACTGAGGAACGCGTTGAGGAAGGCCGCTTTGCTAGTAGTTACGAGGCTCTTCTTCTTCTTCGCTGCTTCTGCTGCGAGTCTTTTGGCTCGCTCGTCCTCCCAGTCGGACGTGAACACGAGGTTCAGTACCATTCGAGGCAGCTCCGACTGGGTTGCCGCTTGTCGGAAGAGATGGAGCTCCATCTCTCGCAGCTGGAGAGCTTCCATCACGTCCAAACGCCACGCAGTAAAATACTTGCGAAGTAACGAGCGCTGAGCTCGATAGCCGACGCGATAAGTCATGACCCAGATCTCAAAAATCGCTCGTCGGTGACGCGTTCGCCGCTGTCGCCAGGGAAGATACTTACGCCGCCGTAAATGCATCTTCCAGGCCGCTTGGAGCTTTACAGCGGCGTAATTTTGTCTGGATATATTTCGATGTCGCAGTAGGTATCGCTCCACTTCTGCATCGTCCACTGCGTCCTCGTCATCTTCGTTATCAGCTTGAAGCATCTGCATCGACGACGATGTGGCGAGTTTTCTTTCAATTTGCGACGTAAAATACGTCGGAAGGTTCGTCACGCTCTTCGCAGCTCGTAAATTACTGCGTGCTGGGCCCAATGGCGCTAAATGTAAGTTTTTATTCACAAGACGTCGTCGTCGAGCTCGGGTCTTGGCTCGCACTGAAGGAGTTCCCGGGTCTGCAAGTTGTTCCAGATACTCCAGCTTTGATGTAAACGCATTCAGCTGTCCACGGAGCACAACGCCCAGAGCGTCTCGATCTTCCTCGTCTTTAGCAGCAGCAGCTTTCTTGGTTAATAGTGTTTTTGGCTTTACAAGTTTCCTACGACTCGAGTGTTCTTGTTGATTGGTTTGGTGCATGGCAGCTACGAAGACTGGCTGGACTTCCTCGTACGCACCAGACACTGAAGTAGCAGGAGCGTACCATTCCTTCAGAGTCCGCATGCGATCTCGACTTGTTTTGTGTGATCGACGCTCAATCCTCTTCAACTCTTTGGTATCCGTTAGCCAAGTCTCCATCTCCTTCCGACGTGCCTGTCGCTCCGCCTCTCGCTGCGCCTTACGTCGAAGATCTGCCGAAAACAAATCCTGCCGATCTGCCTTTTCCTTCTCCCGCTTGGCTTTTTCGGATTTTTTGTGCTTGGCAGCTTTGCGCTGCTGGAACTTCCGTTCATAGCTCGATAGAAAGTCGGACCGTGTCGAGACGCTGTCGATCGAAACTCGACTAGTGGAAAAGGAGAAGGACAAGGAACCTCGACCTGTTGTGCTGCCATCGTCCAGACGACTAGACGCGAGGCTGCCTTCCGAGTATTCGCTGCGAACCGTGTCCATTAGTCCAACTTGAGTATGCTAGTTTTACGACGCGTCCCTCCAGTTTGAGTACGAGGTGCAACGTAATCCGAGCGATTTCGACATTTTCTCGACAGTTTTTTTTCTTACTACTGTAGTCTGCTTTCTAAGCGAAGTTGGCCGCATTCTTGGCGGCCTCCTTGGCCTTCTTGTCTTTCCACATGGCCAGATATGTGCGATAGTACTTGTGTCTGGGCTTTAGGTGCGCCCTACCCTTGTATCCGTTCAGCCTCAGTATGCCCCAAACTTGCTTAGGATCCTTGTTTCGATACAGACAGTAGTCGAGCATCTTCTGGATCAGGTACTTGGTGATCTTGTCCACGATTGGAACCTTGAACCTCTCTTCTTCTTCGGCCACTTCTTTTGCTGGATCGACTCTCAGTGACCGATGCGAGTCATTTTCGATTTGACCTTCTTGCGAGCGGATCAATGTCTTCGAGTGAAGCGGCTTCGGTAAATGCAGCTGTAAAACTGCAGCAACTAAAAGCACGAGGCAGAACACACGCATTCCTAGGCAGATCTGCGGAGTTGGAGGCGAAACTTAAACTGAATGGCCAAAACTGTTTGAAGGTCAACCGGATCAGGAAAGTGTGGATCATTTCACCTGGCATAACTCGATTTAAAACTGTTTATGCCACATCGAACTGTATTTCGCTTACTTAAAAATAAACCGTTTAATAAACGACGGCACTATTATCCCGGCCACCAAACCTTGGACAAACTTTGGTCCAAAAAAGGTAACCCTTCCCTTCACAAAACCCATAACGATAGTTAGATATAAGGGGTAAAATCGGGCGTAGATTCCGATTTTGAGGTCTATTTTTGCGTATCTGCAACCATTGATCTCCCAATCGGCCGTTTAAAAAAGGCTCTATATCTTGCAGAATTGTTTGCAATTGTGGGCTTGGCACGTACTAACATGCATGCATATTCATTGGCAGAGCCGGGATAACAGGTGGGGATTTTCAGAACCGGATGGATAAATTCCAAATATTACCGCAATTTGACGATTGTTAGAAAATTATAAACTTGTTAAAAAGAACCCGTCAAAAGAATATCTAGAGTGTAAAGAACATACAACGGGTCACCCGTTCATATTTTTAATCGGCTACAGCTTCATTTTGGACCTTCCATCTGTCATAATTAATTTGTCGACCACTGAAATGTTAAATATCTATAACAACTGAAATGATATGAAGTACAGCCTACCGAGGTGAAATTCTTGTCGTGGTGCTGCTCCCAGTGCGCCCATATAGCTGAAATGGTGCCCGTAGCAAAGCCTAAACACTCTTTGACATGATAACGAACTCCTCCTTTCCATAGATGCGGTGCAGAGGCCTTCTTTTGGCGGAGGAACTCGTAGGTCTTCACAACCAAGTACTTCTCAGCAGCAGTCAATTTCTTACCGGCGACCATTTGAAAAGTAGTGAACATTATTAGATGCTGTGAAGTTCTTACGAGAATAAATAGACACCAAGCTATCTATTAAGGGGACACACAACGAAATCGGCTCTACGGTTGCGGAGTTACATTCCTCTAATTTAAGATAAAATATATTACCATTTTTGTCCAAGCCTTTTTGGCCGGGATAATACTGCCCATGTTTGAAACCCATGATGAAATCCACGATAAATCATGGACATGCCCATGATCGGTCAGGTATTTTATTTTGCACCATACGGATCCAAATCCCCAACGCCTACCCTACAGTACCCCATTCTCCGGCTGAAGACGAGTGAGCTATAAAGCGTGGCGCCACCGCCGCCGCCGCTGAAGTCTGCCCCTCCGCTGAAAAAGCCCGCGCGCCCCGCGTAAGCTGCCACAGCGATCCGTTGGGTTGTGTAAAGGAGCCGCCGCCAAAACCGTTCGTAACGGACCGATGGTTACGACGCGCAGTTTGAGTGCCAAAAGAACCCGCGAGAGCACGGAGGTCGACATGGACGTGGACCCTGACCAGGAAATGGACGTAAGCCAGGGCCAGGCCACCAGCAAAGCAGAGGACAACAAGGACGAGGAACGCGACGGTGATGGAGATGACAGTGAAAACGCTTCCAGTGCTGAAGACGACAGTGATGAAGTGGCGCCCGCCGATGATGATGCGTTGGACGAGACCAGCGGCGGCTCTCGCCATTACGGCGCTCGCAAATGTGCCAAGCAGGCGACGAGCGTTTGTTCAGACGAGTTGCTAGGCCGCGCAGAGGACAAGTCAGATAGCGCGGCAGAGTCTGACCCTGCGCGTCGACCTCCCGGCAACCACGTCAAGGTGGAGGTCCATGTTGACTTGCCTCAAACGTGGCATGCAAATTGGGACGCGTGGTTGGAATACCTTGAGGTGTACCAGGCCAAAACTCATCAGATGCTGCGGATCAGGGAGGTGCTCACCAACAAGACCAAGAACGAGCGCGTGCTGAAGACCAAACGCGGTAGCAGTGGGGCTGGTGTTGTACCTACGGAGCTCGATCCCTACTTCCGTGTGTACATATGTACACACGGATGGAAGCCCCGCAAGTCGCGAACGGCTGGGAAGGCTGGCAAATGTGCTCGCCGCCAGGTCCGCACGACTGAATGTCCGCTGCGGTTCGTCGTGCAGTGGTGTGAGCAGGGCACCGGCTGGAATCTCCGTGTTCAAAACGGCGTATGGGTTCACAACCACCCAGTGGGCCACGCAACATTCAGAACCTACCCGGAGCAGCGTGGGGTTGGTAACCCCAACCTGCAAGATCATGTGAATGGGATGCTGTCGGCCTGCGCGCGGCGTCGGAAGATCTACGCTTTCTTGGTGTCGAATGACCAGAGCATCATCAAGCGCGATGTTGACAACTTGGTGCAGAAGCATGCCGCTGGTGATTCGTCAATGGACGAAGACGATGCAGTTGCCAGTGGGCTTGGTGCATTTGCGGCAGCGGATCCCGAGAACCTCATAAGTGTGGATGAAACTCCTACAGGTAAGACAGGGGTGATCTCGTTGACGTCCAAGCACATGCGGCGCATGTACTATCGATTTAGCGAGTTCCTGATGATCGACTGTACGCACAAGACAAACAGGTAGTGTTCATGATTATCTATATCTGATCCATGATTAATCCATGACTGAGATTTACTGAGCGTGTGCTGATCAGTACCAACTACCAGCTCTGTACGTTCATGGTGGTGAATGACCACGGCGAGGGCGTCCCAGTACAGCACTCACTACTCGAGACCAACTCGGACTGGCACATGGACCGCGCGTGTGATCACTTCAAACGCGCGCACCAAGGGCGCTTCAACATGCTGCGTGTGATCATGGTGGATAAGGATCTAAACGAGATCCGCATTTTGCGCAGCCACTTTCCTGAGGCCCAGATACTGATATGTGTGTTTCATGTGATCTCCAGGATAAAAAAACCTGTTTTGATCCAGGATCCGTTTTACATCCTGCCGGACAATCTCATCGAGTCGTGTTTCAAATTGCTGCCATTGCATAACTGTAAAAATACTGCAGTTGATTTGCGGACACCGCCTACGGCAAATTCAAAGCAAGACGCCGTCGAAGTAATCCAGATCGCGCAGATCGGTGCGTTCAACCGCAAGCAAATTGAGACCTTCCGCCGCATCTCTCAGCTTAAGGCTCACGTGGAGCAAGGGCTGGGATTGTGCAGATGGCTCCTGAACGACGCTCTCTCGGCGATGCCTGCAGCGTACCACGACACGGTGCGTTATGCCGCAGAGTACGTGTGCAAACGTTACCCAGACGATTGGCTCTCGGGTCTGCCGAAACGGTCGGAAAACCGGTGCATGTCAGTTTACACGGCCGTCCCGCCATTTTGGATGACCGATGCTGCTATTCGTGCCTTGTGTTCTCGACTGGAAATGGACTTTCCGACGTGCCGCTTTGCCGGAGACCAGAAGCCCACCGAAACCAAGCGGCGCACACGAGCGCAGCCCAGCCAAGCGGTCAGCCCTGAGGTCGCGACTAGACTCCGTGAGCTGTGTAGTATGGACGAGGTGGACACGATTCTGATCTCGGTTAATTACGAGAACGAGCATTGGTGCGGCATCGTGGTGAAGCGGAGTGCCAAGCGGATCCTGTTTTACGACCCGCTCAACACTAAGGCGTACATACGCGCGTGCGAAGAAATTGTGTCGAGCATCTGCATTCAAGTCGAGGCTCTCAGAAACTTTAATAAGTATCACATGCAGAGCCCAATCCAATTTGATCTACACAGCTGCGGCGCATTTGTGTGCTGGTTTTTTATGCGGAACGCCACGCCAGGACTCCCGACTGATATGAGCACCCATGGCCTCGTTGCGCGCCGGTTTGAATTGATGTACTATATTCTCACCGGGCGATTGCTTCCGCTGCAACCGCAAGTAGCTGCACCTGTCCTAGACCAAGATGACGACGACAAATCTCTGCCGGTAACACAGACCGCTACGGTTTAGAGCAGAGATGTGGGATGTTTGACGTGGCGGACGTTTTCAGGTACGAGGTAGCGCAAGTGGAGCGTGTTGCGTGCACCATAAAGCGGTCAGCTAGTGCGTGTGTGCGAAGCACCTGCTCCTTGGGGTAATTAATTGCTAATACACGTCATCGCTTTAACTTGACTCATTATCTCTTTCTGCCATCTTTCTGCATCGACGTGAGCTAGCGTGTTGCTCATCAGTACCTTGTCGAAATCTTTTCAAGCAGTCATGGACTATCCACGTCAAATTATAGACGATCATGGACTTTTGTACATGTGCTGTGTTTCGGGCTCTATAAAAATATGAGCTCGAGGACGCCGAAGATACAAAGATACTTTCAAATCTTGCGTAAATAAAGTATCCGATTTGATGGGTTTTCTGAATCCTGGCCAAAACATGGGATAAATCCTGTATCAATATTTAGGGCTCCATGATTTTGAACATGGGCAGTATCACCGTCCTTTAATAAACCACGCCGTATTTAAAATTGTCCGGTATTAATCCAAATAGCACCGAACGCGGTCGACATTGTCGAACACAGCACAAACTAATTCGTCAGCTGAGTAAAATTAGTTCACATTAAAATGATTTATTTATAATTTAAACATGCAATACATCTGTGCGGTACGAGCATGAATTTTTGCCACAAGTAATATATGTGCAGAAAACCTCCTAAATGGAGCGTGAAAACAAGATAATCTGTCGTACACGATATTTTGAAAATCTACCGATTTAAGTTAAACAAAAAGTAAACGTGATTTAGGCCAAACCAAGATTGGAAAAATATTCTGAGGGGTAAAAAGTTGTAGTCTATGAATTCAAAGTGGCTGTGATAGTATTAGTGATTGATATTTACCGTAAAAGTCGGCCCCAGTGCGGCAAACGGGCTCAGTGCGACGCTCCCATTTTTATAGGTGGCACATCCTCCAGAGACGGATCAATAAAGTGGTTCTTTTGCCTGTTTAGGACGGATGGCATCATAAGGGTCCGATTAAAATACCTTATCAAAACTTTTTATTGACTTTGACAAAAAAGATGATGTGGAACTGGGGCCGATTTTTACGG